AGCTTACACTCGCATTCGCAAAACTCAATTACACTACTTCGCCACTTGAACTAAATAATGCTGCAGGGGAGACCGCAAAAGTCTCCCGAACATGGCATTTCGCAAATCCTCCTAGTCCCTGAAATGATTTTGACTGATTTGAAGGTGGACTTTATTGATGGACTTCCGAGTTTCAACGTTCAGGAATACATATCGGACGTTGTCAGCATACTCAGCAGCAATGCCAATTTCACCCCGCTATGCAGCTCTGTCACGACTTCAGAGTTGTTGAGGTGTTCAGACATTATAATATGTGAAAGCTTGATGAACTCCTCAGAGGCATCCCGTGAATGCCTTTTCGAAGTTCGTCGGTGTGTTTTGGCGTGCCCTTATGACTCGCTCACCATTGACAACAGTATGTCACCGCAAACCAACCTGAGGCACAAGGACAGACAAATGGCTTTAGCCACACTCTTTGTGCCGTATATGCAACTTTAGGCCAACACAAATCCAACTGCTTGGGTTGATTTTCTTTCTCATGCTGAATCAGTTCATATCTAAGCAGTACATTCTTGTACTTGTCAGCGTTCCCTATCCCGAGTCTGCATTGATAAGCCCTTAACCGATTCGGGTCTGGATCAGCTGGTGGGGGATCAGCAGTCATCATTGGCAACCAAGGGAATCAGAGAACAGGTGCCGAGTGTGTGCGCGAAGCTAAAGAGAAACAAGCACGTGATTATTCTAGGCGAAGGTTGGTTGTGTTATTCAAGCCTCAAGACTTTGTCTTGGTGAAACAGCAGGCTTAACGAGGTGCGACATAAGGTAACCAACTAAAGACCTGTGCAAACAGGTGTCTAGGATCGGCTGAAGTTCTCGCGTAAATTCATGATCTTTCATAGTCTATCCCTTTTCCCAATAGGAGATGCCACAGAACTACAAGTATTGGCTTCCCAAAGAAGTGTCGAAACTCCCCAAGTTGTCGTGGATTTAGCAGCGTAGGCAAGTAACCCCAGTGGAAGCGCAGGATACACAGGGAGCCATAAATTGCCTGATCCTAGGACTAGTGAGTATCAAGAAAGCTGTGACGGTAGGTGCTAGTGAGGTGGGGTGGGGAAAGCCAGCCTCAGGGGTTGACGGAGAAGTTGCATAGTGGAGAATTCGTAGCATCCTTTGGCTTCATCGCTAGCCGGCGCAGACCATATTCCCCCGCGTTCCTTGGCAATTGCTGTCCCCCGTGCATTTTCTGCAGGAAGTAGCTATATCAAGCTGTTGGTGCTGCTTGGAAAGTTTCCGGTTCTCTAAACTCATTGATATATCCAGGTACTCTTAGATATGCTGTCTCTATATCGTCCCGTATGCTTGTAATCGGCTATGCTGCATGCACCTGCCGTATTTGTATGTACACCCTGCTCTATGGAGCACGGACGCCCTGCTGAAATAGTGTGTGTGCTTGGATTCCCTATGCACATTTTACTTGTCTTCTGTTTGCTCCGAACAGGAGGCGCGCACACTTGAGCACTCCGTAGATAGCGCTCCCTCGCGCCGCCGCAGTCGATGTGATTTGGTCCCTCACTTCTTATTGGCTAGTGTAGGTACCTTTCTTCCAGTCTGGTTATCTCAAGCGTTTGATGCATGCACTTGTTTTCCTCATTTGCACTAGTGTTTCTGTCTGCCTGTAGAGTGGTGATAGGGCGGGAACTCTTCCATTGTCCTGCTCACATTTGGTCTCGCTGTATCGGCACGGAACCGGAGGACGTGTTGATATGGGGGGAAGATGTGGCGGGCTAGACTACACTCAAACACTCTCTACCACACTAGCTACGTCTTACCAAAAGGCATGTGGTTGAAATTTTCTGGTTTGCATGTATGTCTTGTGTATTGCACAGTGCTGCTAGCTCGATGAAAGGGGTTGCGATGTTGTGTGCGTGAGCGCTAAATGCTATATGCAACTAGGGGGAAATGCCGGGAGTGATCAGACGTTGCGGCTATGCGCAGTAGAGCTATCCCTCTTTCCTCATGTTAGGAACTTCAAGGGGCCAGGGCAGGGGCAGGGAAGGTGGGGTATGCATTATGAAAGGTGTAAAGCTTTCTACGAAGTTTGTATAGTCTGGAGGCAGGTATCTTTCCGAAAACCTTGGAGCTCGTTCCGTAAGCAAAAAACAACGCGTCAATTGTTTTAAAAGTGTTACTTAAGAGGCAGTTGCTATAAGAGAATGTGCCAAAGTTTTGCTTTGGCCGGCTCAGTCCTGCTTCATGTAAGTTAGCCTTCAAATCAGCGTGTAAGCGCAGCTTTCGTTCCCTTGGCGGGAGCTGAGAACAGCCAAGTGAGGGATACCAGTAATGCCGCGTGAGACACGCCCTTTGGCGCATCTCAGAGAGAGGGAGGAAGCTTTCACGGTAGATTAGAAGGTGAGGGTGTGGCGATTTGTTCGCTGACTGCGTTGAGTGTTGGGAGGGAGCGAGAAACCCAATCCTGTGTCTCTTGCAATTCATCACCTCGAACTCGGCCCAGCATGGCGCGTCAAGTGATACTTTTCGTTCGCAAATTGTATACTAAATTAGCTTTTAAAAACAAACAAGTTATCCGACGACGGCGTGCGGGGGCCCCCGCCTTCACCAGCTGTACACGGAGGGGCCTCTTCTTCAGGGGCCCCCCGGGTCTCTTGGGGCCCCGAAGGGGCCCCGAAGGGGCCTTGTGGAGGAGACCTTTCTATGCGTTTCTCTGTAAGGAGAACACCTTTTTCCAGATGTTACGGCCGTTTCCTTGTGTTCTTCGGCTTGTTTTTGCGTTTAGAGCTGGGAGGAGGGCGTTGGGTGTACAGCGTGTCTTGTTTTTGCACTGCAGAGCCCTTCGCCGGAGGGCCCTTCACCAGGCGTTTTTTCCTGCCCCGCTGTATGGCGTAGTGCCCCTATGTCGGAGAGTCTGCAATTGCGCTCAAAGGGTGAAAAGCAGTGGCAGACGCCCCAAGAGAGTCCCCTGCAGATGGAGGTTCTCTTCGGAGCAGTCAAGTCCAGGCGTTCCGTACTGCTACGGCGGCTGCAGCAGCAAGCCCAGCTGCAGAAAAGCCCTTCCCAACAGTTCTCTCCGATTCAGCAGAGGCTTCAGGAAGGAGGGCTCAGTAAAACGATCCCCCTGAGGAGGCCCTCGGCGGATCCGATGGGGGCCCCTCGGGGAGACTCGCCTTTCAGCCCTTGGAAGAGCAGCAACGGGAACGAGAGTAGCCTCGCGAGATGGCTGATAATGCAACCGAAGCGGTGGACGCAGGTTCTCACAAGAGACTCAGTGGCTTTGGTGTAAGTAACTTCCTGTCGAATCCCTGCCCCGCAGTCGATGCTGCCTTCATGGCTTCTACCCCTGCAGCTGAGTCTACTGTTGGTGTCGCCGGCTGCTTTTGCTCTCAGGCCTAGCAGTACGCGTCGTGTTGCACTGCTTCTCGCTGGCTTGCCGCCTCACCTCTGCAGCACAGAAGCAGTGATTGCCGTTGTTTCTCGCGCTGTACGTGCAGACGTGGCAGCAGAACCCGCATCGGCCTCCGTAGATATACATCTACGCGTAGCAGAGTCGCTGCACGGACTAAGCGGGATTTCGCGAAACCACACCCTGCTGTGCCAGAAACTGCAAGCAGTGCTGACTTGTTTGAGGCTTTTTTTGTCTTTGTCAACCTGCTGCGCTGGTTTGCATCTGCAGGGTGTCGAGCTGCCTCGCTCCTTCGTCATGCTGCAGCATAGTCGCCTTGGGAGGTACACAGGCCGGTGCCTCGTCTTGACAGATCCGCCGCAAGCAGCAGTAGAGGCAGCAGCAGCAGTAGAGGCAGCAGCAGCAGAAACGGCAGCAGCAGCAGTAGAGGCAGCAGCCGACGACAGGGGGTTCACCAGAGAAGCAGATGTGGCAGCAGAAGACGGTGCGAGAGCCGTAGCCGTGGCGGAGGCAACGGCAGGAAAAGATTTCATCTCGCGGCTTCTTGCTGCGCTCCCCCCTGGTGTTTCCGTGAAAGAATGCGATATTTATGAAACTAAACGCGCTGCAGAAGAGTAAGGCGACTTGCTTGTTGAATTCACCGCCTTTGCCAGTGCAACTAGTGCTGTGGGCTCTGTGCTGCAGTCACTCACTCCGCATTCCTTACTCACCCACGCTGCCTCTCTCTCTGCGAATGCGCTGCATCCACACAAGGCTGCGTGAGGTGTGGTGTGCTGTGGGATGTGCTCAGGTTTGAAGGGTTCTACAGGCTGACAGAAGACCTTCAGCGGCTCGCAAAAGAAGGCAACAAGAGTCTTAGCCGGTGCGCGCGCTTCACCTCTGTCCCCCTTCCTTCCCTCCCTCAGTGTGCTGCCTTCTAGATGTGTGTTTCCGGGGCTTTTTGTCCGTGTGCATGCATGCATGCATGCACCTTTTTTAATCGACCCGATTGCTGCGCATTTCCCGCTTCTTCGTCGCGTTTTCTGAGCCCGCCCCTTCCCCCGCCACTCCGCTTCACCAACTGCCTGGTCGAATTCGATCTTCGCCTGACACACTTGCTGCTGAGCATGTCTCCAAGTCTCGCTGCTTCTCTGCCTCGCAGCGTCTCCCTCGCTCTCCCGCCACGCAGCCTCTTCGCTGGTTTCGGGCTCGCGCTGTACAGACAGCTCTGCTGCTGGGGGGTCCACTGCGCGCTTGGCTGTGTTTGCAGAGTCGTGACGCTTCAGCCCCTGCCTTCGGACTGGCGGGCAGAAGATGTGCAGAGGCTTCTTAAGACGTCCTTCGAAGTGTTCGTGGTAAGAGAGTTCTTGGATGCTTCAGACAGTCTGCTCTGCAAGGGCCGTTGCGGTATCCGCTGCAGCTCTGCACGCCGCTTTTTTATGCGGCTCCTTGCTGCCGCTTTGCCTCGAGGCGTCTTGTTGAGGCTGGCAACGCCCTGCTTTTCTCGCGCTCGATGCGCATGTGGATCTCCACAGCTGCATCTGCAGCAGCTAGCCAGGCAGAAAGGCTGGCCGTTACCCGCCACAGGCAGGCCCGAGGCATCTTGATACGTCTGTTGCGTGCGATGCCTTCTCTCAAGGATCTGAAAAACATTGTGTTTGCGTATGGACGGCGCGGAGAGCAGCAGTCGCTCTGCTTCTGCTGCTGCAACAGCGACAGCGATGCGTTGAAGCTACTGCAGCAGGTGCAAGAAGTTGCAGTTCCTAACCACCCTGCGTATCCAGACCTCTTCGGATGCTCCTTTCTCTACGCCAGTACGGCCGAAAAGCCTTCTCCTTTCTTAGTTCCCCTTCTTCATCCCCCCTCCCTTTATCCCCCACTGCTTGCGACAGCTAAGTCTTCGTGCCGCGTAGGGATACCCGCACATGCTTAGACAAACAGCTGGAACTATTTGGGGCTTTGTGTGCCTCTGCAGGTCGAACAGCGCTTTTTGTTTCTCACGAGGATCTGGACTATCTCCCTGTTCTCCGCAAATTCCAGGCAAGCGTGCAGGGTGTGGGGTGGTTTGGTGTAGGTGGGCCTGTTGCACGCCTTTATGCCGCTTTCTGCGCAGACGTTCCATGGCGCGAGTGGGCGTGGGAGTGAGGGGGGTGGGGGTGATTTGTGGCTGGTGGCATCTCTAGCACTCTCGACAAGCGAACGCGGTTTTCTTACAACTGCTGAGGATCTGGCGTGGGAAGTGGGAGTCCTCGTCGCGTGCACCTCCAAGGGGAGCATGCTGTGTGCGTCTGCGGCTCTTGTTAAGGTGTTTACGTATGGCTGGGAGAAGGATGTGACGGAGGAGGAGTTTCGAGGCCTCCTTCGCCAGCTGCGAATTTTTCCTTCGGGCATTGTACGCCTCCACATGGAAGGCTGGGAAGAATCAGGCTTCTTTTTGCAGTTCGATCGCATGCGGGATGTCAAGCTCGTGATGGTAGGCGTGCCCTTTTAGCGTTCACACGTCGAACATCTAGGACTCGTTTCTGCTCTTCCGCCAGTCCGCTTCTTCTCTGCTGTCGCCCGTGCTGCTAGCAGCTTCGTGCCTGTGTGTCTTCCGCCCCCTCGCTGGCTCTTCCAGTTTATGTACCTTGACTGCATGCTGCAAATTTTCAACCTCTCTCAAGCCTCCTATGAGCGTCTTGCTTGCTTCCTTCAGTCCAGGCTACAGCTTTTGCGCCGGAGGTGGCGGCTGCCCCCCCATTCAGTCTTCTTCGCGCTCCCACGTCGCGTACGTCGTTTGTTGCTGCTTTTCTTTTGAACAGCGAACGCCTAGAGGCCTAAACTGAGAGAGGAGGCCTAAGGCCTCCCTCAAGCAGCGTCCCCTTTTATTATTTTCGCATAGGCAGCGTGAAAAAAATGCCGCACGCTTGTAGCTCTGCAGTCTACCCCACCCCCCTTTCGCTCCTCCCGTCTCTTCTTGTGAATAACCCGCGTCTCTCATGCTTCTCGCACGCCTCGTGTAGCCCCTCTTTCACATCCGCGTATATGGAGTGTCGCCTTCCTGCTTTCTACTTTCTTGCCACGCGCCTCTGCTCCGTGTCTATGGCCTTTGCCCTTCATATGGATCCTCCTCCTGCTGCCCTCTCCCCCGGCAGGTCGACATCCACTTCGAAGACGAACAGATTTACGCTGATGAAGACGAAGCGGCAGACTCGGACCTCGACGAACCAATCGACTACTAGCAGCAGGGGCTCAAGGCTTCCCCACCAGGGCCTTAAGAAGGAGCGTGGGAAAGTTTTTTTGGGATGGGGCAGGAGAAGGCCTCTTTACAAGGACCCCTAGAGGGTCCAATGCTCATTAGGGCTTCCCAAACGCTTCCCTCCCTCGCAGTAGCGTGTGGAATGCGGCATGCATTTACTTGAATTGTGGGGTTTTCAGAGCGGCAGGTCATAAGCCTGTGCGGCTCTTCTTAGGAAGAGCCTGCGGCTTGAAAGGCGCTCCTTAAGACCCCCATGCCATTAGTTCCCTCGCTCATTGCGCGCACAGCGCCGACGTGCAGGTGGCCCCCTTAACTCCTGTCATCAGACTTGCCCTACCCACAAGGCGTTGTGGCTTAAAATTTTAACGAGCAGAGACATGGTAGGAAGGCCAGTGCATGTTTTCAGGGATTCAAGGATGTGGAGGGAGCATTGGGGAGAGGCTTGCGACAGAGGGAAACGGGGAGAGAGAGAGAGAGTCGCGCCTAAGGGAAAGGAGCCTTGACAGGTATAGGCCGACGCGGTAGGGTGCGCATACAGAGACGCAGAGAAGACGTGTTGCTAGCATATTTAGCAGTTCCTGAAGGGCAACTGTAAGCACAACGGGTCCAAAGCCACTGATGACAGCAGCGCTTGTGCAGCACTTTGCTGTCGTAGGCCTTTCACAGAAGAAGAGCGACTGCCTTTCAGCCAGCACACGATGTGCTATCGCCTCTGAGGCAGGGCCTTGGTTTTCCAGAAAACATTCCTCTCCGCGCCGCCCCAAGCACACTCAAGTCACGGTGCTGCGTGCTAAAGGCGAGCAGAAACAGTAGAGCTGGTGCTAGCTGGGGCTTTCGAGGAAACGTCTACGGAGCAGCGTGCGCATACAGCCTCAACTCAGCGCAGAAGCACATCCAGCTCCCGACAAATAGGCGCCGCCTCGCAATACTTCCAGCATGCGGAAGGGGAGACACCCGTTGCAATGGAGTCAGTTACATAGTTTTCATCGTACTGGATTGCCCACTACAGGCAGTGCACAGTGCTAGGCTATTGTACTAGAGCCTGCTGGCGCTGTCAGGGGGGTTTTGTACCGTCCCACAGGGTCCTTGAGGGCAAAAGGAGCCAAAGGTCTCTCAGAATCTAGAAAGATTGCCGTTACGACATTGATAGCAGCTCTACAGAGGAGTCCTGAGGAGCTGTTTTTTTGAGAGGCCTTGCCAGCGAAACTGCCTCGGTACGCCTGGAAATGCACGAGTGCCTTCCGTGTCGACGGCGGCGCTGGCTCGGGCGTGAGTTTCATAAAACAGCCCGAATTCGGCGCTTAATACTTCGTTTTTAAGTTTGCATAGCGGCTTTCAAAGAGTGTGATAAATAAGAAGGCCTGTACGCGCCTTGTGTCTTCTTTTGCCGCCTCGGAACCTCCCCGCAGCCGAGGGGGTATAGCGTCCCCGCCCTTCTGCTGCGCCACATGGGGGGTGGAAGGAGGAGCAAAGGGGCCCCCTGCAGGGGGCCCCTTTGCTCCTCCTGCTGCGTCGGGCTCTGTGGCTGCGATTTTGTGCATTTGAAGCCTCATGGCTTCATAATTGGCGTTAGTCAACGCGGAAGTTCCGTTGCTTGGCAGGCCAGCGCTCACTCCGGCACAGGGAGAAGACACCCGGCAACACGGCAGGAACGCTTCGAAATCACCCGGGAAGAAGCTTCTGAGTAGCTCACTAGGCAAAAACAACAACAGACGCAGTAATTCGAGTCCTTTCGGCCGTACAGTAGCCGCGTTAGCAGGTGCTGCGGCAGCAGCGGCAGCTGTTGCAGCGCCTGTTGCCACTCCATTCAAGTTGTTTAGCCTCAACAGCAGTTGAGCCGACACCAGGGGCCGCGGCAGAGCACTATGCATTTCGTCCGCGGACTGTTTCTTGCAGCGGCAGCAGCTGCTGCTGCCATTTGCTGCTGCTGCTTCTCTCCGGGTGCCGCCCTCCAGGAGAGACAGCAGCAGCAGCTGCCCCTTCTAATGTTTCCGCGAGAACCCTCGCAGCGAAGTCCGTTCTACCTCCTATCCGCTTTGAAGCTCTAGCGTACATGGATGCTGAAGGAGTCCGACGGGCATTTCGTGCTCCTTTTCCTGCTGCCGAGCCTTTCCCCAGGCGTGCCTGTGCGTCATAGCGCACTGCTGATGGTGTGTCGTGTGTTGTTGGTACGCTTGCTGCAGTGCCTCAAGCAACCCGAATGACGCCGTCAAGCCAGACGTTGCTGATGCAGCTGAGAGGCGGTCTCTCCCTGCAAGTACAAGCAATGAGCGGTGAGTTGAAGCACCCTACCCTGCACAGCCGCAAAGCCCTGTACTTTTGCCTTTGGGTGCATGTAGACGCCTCTTTATGTTGTGCGCGTTAAACAATATATTGGACGTCTGCAGCGTGTTGCTCCCTCGGACTCGGAGGAGGTGGCTTTCGAGACGTTCCTCTGCATGCGTTCATGAATTGGGTGCAGGGAAGATGATAACAGTCGAAGACATTGATCCGCAGTCAACTGTGATGCAGCTTAAAGAGCGGCTGCAGCAGAGGGAGGGCCTTAGCCCGGATCAGCAGCGCCTTATTGTCAACGGCAGACATATGAAAGACACCGACACCCTCGCTTCCTACAACATCTCCGTAAGGTTTGGGAGGGGTGGGGGGAAGAGAGCTGGCGAGGGCATGGCGTTTGGGAGGCGCAGGATACGTTTGCAGCACAGGATACTTTTGCAGCACAGCATCTTTTGCACTGAAGGGTCCAACACACTCGGGATTGGGGAGGAGGGATGAGCCTCAATTGAGGCTTGGAGAGCAACGAATTAGAGTGATTCGCTTCTAAGTCCGATGAAGGGAGTTTACACTCGAGCGTTCGCTTGCTGCTTTTAGGATAAAACTGTCGTTCACCTTGTCTTACGACTCCGGGGCGGCTTAGGCCGCCTGCATCGTGAAGCAGATCCTTCTGTAGCAGAGAATCAAATGTTTTCTAACGCAGCCAGCTTTGCTGCAGTGTCGAAGGGCCATCTATGACGATTTCTGAGAGGCTCCTGTAGGACACACTTATCCCCAGCCTCGATACAAACTTCAAAGAAAGCCATAAACCTTTCATGGTGAAACTGCCGCGTTCCCCGCCCCTGCCTTGGCCCCTCGAAGCTTCCAACATGAGGAAAGAGGGATGGCTCTAGTGCGCATAGCCGCAGCGTCTGATCACTCCAGACGTTTACCGCTAGTTGCATGCAGCATTTAGCGCTCACGCACACAACATTGCGACCCCTTATATTGAGCTAGCAGCACTGTGCAATAAATAAGATATGCACGCAGAACAACAATTTCCAAACTCTTATGCTTTTTGGCAACATGTAGCTAGTGTGGTAGAGAGTGTTTTAGTGTAGTTTAGCCCGCCACATCTTCCTCCCATATCAACACGCACACCCTCGCATTCCCTGCCGATACAGCGAGACCAACTGTGAGCAGAACAGAAGAAGAGTTCCCTCCCTATCACTACTCTACAGACAGACAGAGGCGCAAAATAGTGCAAATGTGAGATACAAATGCATGCATACAGGACTTGAGGTAGATAGACGAGTAGGAAGATATCTGCACTACCCATCAACAAATGGGGGCCCAAATCAAATCGACTGCGGCGGCGCGAGGATACCCTATCTACGGAGCGATTAAATGTGTGCGTCTTATTGGGGGCAAACAGAAGACAAGTAAATTGCGCATGGGGAATCGAAACACTCACTAGTTCGGCGGGGCGTCTGCGCCTCATAGAGCGGGGTCAACATACAAATTCAACAGGTGCAAGTGCTGCACTTCGTGCAAGCTGGAAACAGTGGGACGAGATTCCGAGGCTTTGAATGCTTGGCCTGTAGCGTACTAGACTACGCTTCAGCCCTTTCTACTACATTATTTGTACTCAACAGGGAATTAGTAAATGCTTGACTCCTTGGTATGCCTGTTCGTAAATCGCATTTATTGCGAAACATTATGAACTCCAAACCAGAATACACACTGTCACGTGCATGCGCGCACACATATGCGGGAGTCAAGCGCAACTACCTGCAATCGTCCGGAATGCAAAGAGAATGCATCTATGCGCACCCTAGCTATCCCTATCCCTGCATGTCGAAAGCTCTCACGAGCGCGGGTAGTGGAGGAAACAGGAGTTCATTTTGAAGAGCCTCAATGACTGCTTATGAAGTTTGCATTGAGTCTGGAGTTTAGTGTCTCCCCATGGAGACCTTTGGTTTAGGCATACACCCGAGGTTGGGCTTCTTCAGAGCGCGGTCATCCCTCTAAAGGCACTTTTAATGTCAAGCGAAATTTGCTGCTAATGTGTCTATGAGAGGCCAGAACGGTGCCTTGCCAGCGCGGCAGTATCGCAGGCAAGTAAAAGGGCAAACGCAATATGCGGCGGCTGTACCTGCGGAACCTGCTTGCGACCAGGGTTCAGGTTTGCAGTTTATTGGCTACGAACTTTGTCGAAGTGCCCTTGAAGCTTTATGATAAGCATGAAGGGGCAACAGTAGCAGGACTTGCACGCTGTCGCTGCCCTTGCTCCGTTGTGCTACCCCTCCAGCGCCCCTTGTTTCAAATCCCGCCTACTGGTGCACTGCGCGTATTTTAGTCGCGCACTGCCTTGATGATGACAATGCAGTAGGGACACAGATTCAGCAGCAGCGAAGGGGGGAGAAGTGGCTGCGGCAGCCGCGGCAGAAGGGCGGATCTGTTTTTTTGCAAACTATCCGCAAAGGGGCATCCCCGACTTGCGGGCCCTGCATCCAAGAAAAGAGGGCAACATATTCTTCTTTACTAGTTACGAAAAAAAAGGCGTGAAAAGTCACTTGACGGGGTGTCACTTGACGGGGCATCGCTTGGCCGTGTCTTAACTAGGCATCAACCTCATGCAGTTTGCGTGAGATTCCTCTTCCAAACGACAGGCGCCGTACTACAGCTCTGACAGTTCGCCAAGTATGAAACTAAAAGGCAGGAAACAGAGAAGATGATGATTGAAAACTTTTGTGGAGCTTCTCCCCAAACCACAACCCCCCCAGAGCACGCCTTCCGCGAGGTCCCTCTTCTGTCTCTTGCCGCGGCAGCTGGCGGGGGTCACCGCAGGCGTGGGGGGAGGGCTGTGCGACTGGTTCTAAGGGTGTCGAGGAAGATTTCTTCGCTTCTTGCTTTGTGCACAAGAAGAAAAGACAAAGACGATATGAAGTATGCTCAAAAAGGAATTTCCTTAGGTCACACAAGACTGGAATCCACCGGTGCGGTCGACGCTGACGCCTGGAGGCAACAGGTTACGAGGGGCCTCTCCGTCAGGGGTGGGACCATGGGTACGTAGTGGGTTTTGAAGGTACACGCTAAATTGATTTTGCAGGACTAGGCACACAAGAGTTTGCAGGAATTCAGCAGGGGCTCCCTCCTGAAGGGGATGGCATGAAAAGCCATGATCTAGATGGAAGCCTTCCTGCATCTGCTTCTCTGTGTGCACTTTTCCTGTTGCTCATTCATCACTTCACCTAGTCGGCTCAAGGTAATTGCTTTTCAGCTGGGCTTTGCGGGACAGTTCTCAAGTTGACTCCCCAGGAACACAATGATCCTGAAGCCAGTAGAGTACACACCGCCGCTGGCGGCACCTGAGCGGCAATAATACCAGTTCCTGCTTCCTGTGTTGTCGCTGCTGCTCTTGCGGCTGCTGCTGGTGCACGGGCGGTGGCACCCCCTTGTGTAATTGATTTTAGAGGGCCTACAGGCTCCTTGGAATTCACGGAGCCCCTGCTTGTAATGCAAGTGCCGGATAGGTCAGATGTAGCTGCGGCTTCTGCCGCCGCTGCTGCTGTTTCCGGTGCAGTGGATGTAGCCAGACAAAGCGTCCTATTGCTTAGCCCCGCAAAGAGGCAGTCCTTTGAAGAGAACCCATCACGTGTAGCTGCAACAGCAGCAGCAGCTGCTGCTGTTGTTGCCGAAGCTGCAGCAACAGCAAGGAAACGCATTCCGTCACAGTCCTATAGTGGGTTTGATACTGCTGAAAGTGCGGCGGCAGCTTTTGCGGTTGCTGCCGCAGCAGCGATATCAAGAAAAAGTCTTTTATCATTGCGTTGTAAAAGCAGGGTTGGTCCTACTCCTCCTTTTCTAGCACGTAATTCAGCAGCTGCAGAGGTGGTGACAGAAACGAGCTGGGTAGATAGAAATGACGACCAATGCCAAATAGTAAAAGAAGCACAGGCAGAAGGTGCTTCTGCTGCTCGCGAATTCAAGGATCCGACGGAAGATAAGAGCAGCAGGACAGCACATGATCCCTCAATTGGGGATTTTTCGTCGAGCTCTACCGCTGCGTCTGCGGCTTCAGTTGTTGCTGCAGCAGCAAAAGCGGCGAGAAAGAGCCTCACGCTGCTGCCAGGTAGTGAGGGTAAGGAATCTGCTGCTGCTGCCTCCGCTGCTGAAGTAGTTGCTGCAGCAGCGCTAAAGGCCAGAAGGAGTCTCATGACTTTGGAATGTCAAGGCGGCTGTCAGCCCTCTGATTCAGAGCAGCACCAGACCGAGGGGGGACCGCAGGATGTTAGGGCGCCTCTGTTCGCGAACCTTGCTGCCTCTGCTGCTGCCACTGCAGTTGCTGAAGCAGCAAAGGCAGCGCGGAGCAGCATCTTGCAGCAAAACTCTAGAACTTCAGGTCAGACTAGCGCCGCCGTTGCTGCTACCACTAGTGTAGCAGGAGCAACGGCTAGGCAAGGCCTCGTGATTGAGTCACTAGTCGTCTTGCCTTCTGGTCCCTTCGCCAAAGCAGCAACTGCTCTTAGTTCCGGCCCATCCGAGCAGAAGCAGCACGAATGGAAAGCACACGGACATAAGCATTGTCCTCAGAGTCACGACAATCAGCTTTGGCAGAAGACCGATGATTCAGAGACGCAAGAACAGGGCCAGAACCAGCTTGTTTCGTCGCTACAACATTCCCACCAGCAGCCCCTACAAAAGGCGCAGCCAACGCAGCAAGCGGAAATGCGAAAGCTGCTGCAGCAAGACAAAGATATGCAGCAACAGGCGTTTCAGCAGCTGCAGCAACCCCAGCCGTTGCAGCGGCACCTGTCCAAACACCAGAGGGACGAACACCAGTTGCACCTCCAGCAACAAGTGCAGCGGCCATCACATCAGGACTTCCCGGTAGGGGCATCAGATCTGATAGAGCAGCAAAGAGAGAGTTCAGCGGCACAGCTCGAACGGGAGAACGCACCGCACAGGCAGACGCGTCAGTGGCAGCAGCAGTTGCAAGCGTATCCGACACCATTGCGGCTGCAACAGCAATGTGCCGAAAGGCAAACGCCTCTCCGACAATTTTCTCCACCGCATAAGGCACAGCATCAAGAACAGCAGCAACATTCTTCGTGCACTGTAGCAGCCAAAAAGATGAGTTCTCTCGAGGCTGCTGCTGCTGCGCTTCAGGCAGCAGCGGCGTCAACAGCAGCGGCAGCAGCCGCGGAACAGGCCGAAAAGGGGGATTATACAACAGCAGGGGCTGATGCACAAGATGCGGCAGAGAACCCTGTTTGTCTGCGGAGGCTTTTGAAGGAGCTGAGGTTGTGGCAGCACCAAGTAATAAGCCGTGTGCCTCAGAAGGCTGCAGAGCCTCAGAGGCGCCTAGGCAAAAGCAGTACCAGGAGCAGCTGCAAGAGAAGGGGTTCCTCTGCCCCCACACCAAATGGCCTCAGCGTCTTTTCCTGCGTGGACAGACCCTTGACCTCGCCTGGCGTTGAGTGCAGTGCTGCTGATGCTGCCCCTCCAGCAGCGGTGGCGAACGCACCCGATGACTTCATCAAAGCCCGAGAGAGGATGGCAGCAGAAGCAGCACCTCCATCTCTGCAGCCTAGAGCTCCTGCAGAGGTGCTACCTGCAAAGGGTAATATGACAGCACAAATGGCCGCTGCCGCTCCCTCTTCCGAGGCTTCAGCCCTGCTGTCTGAGCAGAATACCAAAGGGCCTCCGCCTGCGGGATGGGAGCAAGATCCACAATATGTGCGAATAGTCGGTAAAGCATCTGCTGAAGTGCTTGATGTCACTGGCACAATGGACGCCGCAGAAAGACACTTGAAAATGGGCATGGATCAGGTTTCCGCATCGTGTAGCACTCCCGACATAGAAGAACAGGCAGTTCTTGCTGGCTTTGCCGCTTGGCAGCAGAAGCAGCAGCGTGCGCAGCGGGTGGAATGTACGGGTTCAATCTTTCCGTGGGTGGGGAGACATAGCAGAGAAAGAATGTCTTCCGCGCTTTTCTGCAGCAGCAATAGAAGCACCAGCAATCTGGAAGGTGTGTTCAGGCAGCAGAAACAGCCCCCTTGCGGCAGTAAAAACAACGGACGAAGACTGCGGCCGTGGACCTGTGCAAGCGGCCGTTCCTTCGCTTCTGCACCTCTGCCTCAGCAGCAAACGCAGCAAGTGCTGAAAGAGTTGGAAGAGCAAGAGCAGCAGTGCACTGTGCAGGGAAACTATCTTGGGGCTTTCAGGTTTCAGCAGCAGCGACGAGAACAACTGCTGAAGCGGCTACTGCAAGACGGAAAGACGGCTGAGCGGAAAGAAGCGTTGCACAAAGTAGCACAAGCGAATTGCTGGGCTGCCGCCCTCCATCTAAACAAAAAGTATAAAGCCGTTTCATTTGGTGCGAAGTACCTCATATGCCATGTCACCACCACAAACAACCTGCCGATCAAGAAGATACCCATGCAAGTCAGTCTGGGCGCTACGTTTGGCGAATGAGGGATGTAAAAAGTGCATCACTCGAAGGGGAGCACTGGTGCAAACGGGTTGCAGTAGCAGGAGGGAGGCAAAGGCACTCCTTCGTTTGAGGCGCTTCTACAGGGACGTATGGCTAAGGGTTGAGGTCTGAGGATGTGGGGCCCGTGGCGTGGAGAGCAGTGACGACATTGGTCGTGGAGAGCAATGCAGAAACAAAGATGCAGCCTTTACGAGCGTTGTTTAGCTTCTTTGCGACAAGGGTCGGCAACCGCAGCAGGAGTACACATGCTTGCTTTCTTGCCGCAGGTATTCCTGTCCTACGAGTACCCTCGGCTTTTTCAGCGATACAGAGTCATGTTTCCAGGCATCGGCACCGCCCCGCCTTCAGTAACAAATCCTATTCCCATCCCCCTAATAGGGGTCATAGGCCTTAAACATAAACTGATAGGGGCACAAGTCCATGGCAGGGGTTTGTCGATACGATGTTCTAGGCTGCTAGTTGTAATTGAGTGAAAGTGGATCCTCAAGACCGTTCTGTGCTGTTACTGCTTACATAGAGCAATACTGCTGCTGTTTGTTTTAGTTTTACTGTGGCTTGTTCTATCAATACTGCCGCAGCACCGTACACGAGGGTCACTGACGCCCGAGGAGGTGAACAAGAGGGAGGCGGAGCTTCAAGACACGCTGTTAGCGACGCTGCAGCTCACCAACACTATCAGAGAGCAGCTTGAAATAGTCAAGTCTAAAAGTCGTGGGCAGCTCTCTTCAGTTTCATACCGAAGGGGGCAGTTTAGAGGGCCCGCTGGCCCTCCTTAAGGAAATTTATTTGGCTCTCAAGGTGTTGTCTTTAGGCTTTAGAACATCACCCAAGATGAATGCCTATAAAGCAAGTTTCTTTGTCATACTGCGTCTATGCCATCTAAGGCCTCCTATTGTTGTTGGAATCCTTTTTATGATTATCCGAAGGACGCCACTCCCGCCTACCATGAAGGCGAACCCCCCGCCAAACTTCGGCATTAAAGTACCCCTATCAAGGCGGGTTTGCCAGAAAATGACACAGAACCGTCGACAAAAGGTTTCCAGCGCTGGACTTGAGGCACGCGTGAAGAAGAGGGCCTCTGTAGATTTGCCAACTAGGTCACTAATTAGGGGGGCTATTGGTAGCACTGGGCCCAAAGCTCCACATAAAAATCTTTCTGTCCCTAAAAATGCTTTAGCTGCAAACTCCAAGTGATGTGCTGCCTCTAAGGCTCTCTCAAACCCCTTCGGTGAGAAGAGCCGTTCTGGAGGCTTCACAAGGACTCCTGTACCTGCCCTGCGAATCAAATAAAAGGCACTAATTCCCGTCCAGATCCTCCAAATTCTAGCTATTCTTTGTGTCACCACAGTCATTTGGTGGAGAGAGTCACGGATTTCGAGCAAAGCCACCGGTAAGGTCGTGTCCTCTGGTGTACCGTTCTGTGGGAGCGCAAGTGACCATGGGGATCATTCAAGGGCCCTGTTCGTAAGGTGCAGGAGGATACGTATCCGATTTTCCAGTAAAATTCAATTTGGCTTAGCCAATATGCCATAGTTCTACTGATTGCGCGCAATTAGCTTTGCCGTTGCTCTCTTCTTTACCCCAGACTACAGGACCGAACGTTTGTAGGCAGGGGGCACACCATCTTGTCTGTCGCGTGCAGCCCGCATCCTTTGTCTCCCTCCCTTGTGCTTTCTTTAACCTCATAAAGCAGCTGGACACCAGACCGCTCTACCAGGTTGAACTGCAGCTGCACTCGACAACAGTTGCCAAATAAAAACCGATGGATGGTGGTCTGGGCTCCCCTTGTGCGTCATTGAGTCTCGAGCAAAGGCTGAGGCAATACCTCACGATTCGTCATCATGAAGACGTTTTGGACATTGAAGCCCTCAAATCAGGTAGCACGCAGTCTTATTTCTCCTTCCTTTCAGCAACAGGCGTCTTATCCCCCCTGCATAGGCACATCTGCGCAGCTTGCGACATAACGTAGTTGGATTATGCTGCAAAGGAGAGCATCCACAAAGAATTGATAAGCACAAAAAAAGGCACTAAGCACCGTTCATGTTGTGCCTTTGTGCCCCCAGTTTCTGTTTCTCCCTCCCAAACCCCCTCTAACACTACCGCGAATTCGCCTAACTTGCTTGAGCAGTCCGAGACAGTGACTTTCAAATTCCGCTTCCTCTAGGTGTCTGCCGTGCAGGCCGTCCATTGCTGCAGCACCTGGTGCACCATGGCTGTCTCCCCCCCTCTTCCTTGCATGACAAGAAGCCTTGGGAGCTGTTGCTGCCTGTGCTCAAGGAATTTGGGGTCCTGCAGCCTTGTCACGCCGCAGGCCTCATGTCTGGCTGTCTGCACGCATGGATCCAGGTGCTAGAAGCCTTGGATCCACTCGTTAAAAGCACCTTCAGGAGGAGCAGAAGCAACAGTAGCACCGGCAAGGAGGGGGAAAGCAGAACTATCGGCAAGGGAAACGATGAGGAGGCTGCGCAGAACTGCCTGCAGCGGCAGCACCAGCAGCTTGCTATGCAGACACCCAGCAGCGATCAAGGTGAGAGCACCGGCCGCAGCGAGAGCAACACCAGAGCGCTTACATCAGCCAGCAATACCACAAGCAGCAACAGCAGCACAGTAGCGAGCAGTTGCTCCGCATCGTCTGCACAAGTGGAAAAACACTGCACCATGTCTGTTCCCAGCATTGATCAGCATTCAGGTGCAGTTACAGAGCAGCAGCCGCAAGCAGTGGTGGGCGACCAGAAGGAGGCTTTTTACGGCTTCCAACAAAGCACTTGCCCGCCAAGGAGGGACTTAAGGGAGGCATCGCCGCCTCCAGGGCCTCTCTACTCAGTAGCGGAGTCGCTGAGAGGGGGGAAAAGTAGGCCCCATCTGCTTCTGTTTCCAGACCAGCAGCGACAACAGCAGAAAGAGGCACACCACCCCCACCAGCGGCAACAGCAAGACAGGAGCAGCAGCGGCGATGCAGTACCGGCTTCAAGAGGAACTCTGCAGCTGCAAACCAGTGGCCCCCCGCAGCAAGGGCTGCAAGCCGCACAGCAGACACTCCGCCTGTCTCAGCAAGAGGAGCAGCGGAAGCAGCAGGCTCCACATTTCCTATCGACGCAGGAGCGACAGAGGCTTCAAAGCCTACGGGTCGGGGAGCAGCAAGCGGAGAAGAGCTTTCAGCATCACCAGCAGCGGCAACTAGAGTACGTGGCGGCAACAACGCCACATCCGCAGAAGCCGGACGAGGCGCAGCCACAGCTGCAGCATGGCAGACACCAGCACTGGCAAAGCGAGCTGCAGCAGCAACAGCAGCGAATCCCAGGAAGCCTGTCTGGCAGAGTGCAGGGAGAGCCCACTTTGACTCCTCCACCGCGCAGTCACTTGTCTCCCACTCAAACTTGTAAGAAGGAAATCGCGTTGGTAGCAGCGGCTATTGCCGCTGCTACCACTGCCACATTGAGAAGCAGAATACACCATTTTTTTGCGGCTGCACTGCCCTCCCAGCAGAAGTCGTGAGGCGGCTGCAACATCGCTGCGTGCTCTGACTTCAGGGCTTGTCGTTTATGCATGCAATAATCCTTTGTTGAAGTCTACGAGTTGATGCGGCTCAGGGCATCTTGAGGCGGGACCCTTTTGTGCAGACGCCAAGCGGCAGTTCCGTGTTTTGGACGTTAACCAAGGCGTGTCGTCGACACTGCTGCAGAATCATCAGAAATCGCAGCAAGAACACCGGCAGCATCCAACACCGTTGCAACAACAACAACAACTCGTGCACTTGCAGCAGTCCCGAGACCACGAACAGCTATTGCCAGGGTGTCGTGCTGCAGCCAAGGTTGTACAGGGTAGAAGCGTGCCGCTCCGCAATCAGCGGCAACTGCATGCGGAGCCGCAACAACGGCAGCAACAAAAACATGTTCAGCAGCAATATAGTCAACAAAAAGTGCATCTTACGCACCAGCAAAACGAGCAGCAGCAGAATGCTTGGCTTCCACTCATCCAGCAGGGCCGCCAGGTGACTCAAATAGCAGAACATGCACAGGGCAAGTCAGCACGTGAAGTACAGCACCACTCAGAGCAAAATCTGAATTTGCAGCAACAGTCGCAGCAAATATCTCAGGAGGAGCAACAGCAGCAGCAACACACACAGGCAACCGAGAAGAGTCAGCAGCAGGATTCACAGCAGTCGCAGGTACCACAAGAGCACCCGGAGGAGCGCCAACGAGCGCAGCACCAGGAAGCAGAACGAAAGCCACAACTGCACAGCGCTCGGCAGAAGATGACTTTGCAGGGTCGGCCGCATGCTCTACCTGATTGCCAGGGAGAACAGCAGCAGACTCTGCCGCCACACATACAACTGCAGCACGTACCGCAGCAAGAACTGAGTCAGCAGCAACTGCACGCGCAGCAGTGCACACAGGAGCTTCCCATGAGCCCTCAATGCGAAGGACAGCAGCAACGCATACATAGAAGCCACCAGTTGCAGCAGCAGCAACAGCAGGTAGAATCAGAAATGCATCACCAGGGATGGCAGGAACGACAGCCGCAAGAACAGCACGTGCCTCAGCGGCGAGAGCATCGGCAACAGCAAGAGCAGCGAGAGCTGCCACCGCAGTTGCTTGCACTGCGAAGGGCATATCACTTGAGACAGCAGCAGAAAATGCTGGCACCCACTACGCCTGTTTTGCAGCAACAGCAGGAGCCTTCCTATTCCGAGCAACTTTCTCCACAGGATCTGACTCCACCTATGCAGCGCACATTCCCGCAGGAACAGTGGGGCCTGCAAGAAGGGCAGCCGCTGAACAGCCAAGAAATGGTGACACAGCAGCGACGACTGGCAGAAGGCGCAGTGCCCCCTTGTCCGTTCTGTGCGATACTTCTGAAGGACTCAGAGGATGCGGTCGCGCGAAATAAGAAGGAACTGGCGCGGCTAGAGGAGGCACTGATTCAGTGGTACGTAGCGAGAAGTCTAGAGCCTTCGCGTATCCATCTTTACGTGTTCGCAAACAGGCAGGGCTCTCAGGTCCTCATAGGCTCCTCTGAACAAAGAGGCAACGCAGTCTTTCTGCTTCCCTGATGTGCTTCAGGATGATGTATGAGAGACGCACGCTTCTGAGACACCAAAAGCAAAATGAGAGGCTGGGATGGTTGCTCTTGCAGATAGAGGTACCTTGTGCATCTCGCATCCTATGCTGGTGCTGCTGGTTAAGCTGCCCATTCTGCCTTTGGTGTTGCGCTGGCAGCTGTACAAACGTAAGTAAAGCGTACGAATCAGGCTGGTGTGGCTGCCCGTACCGCTGTTGCTTCAGGAGGCGGCGTGGCAGATGGAAGACGGTCCCGCAAGGGACCATCTGCTAGATATCCTGTCAGAACGGTTTTCCCCTGAGACACCCTCCGCTGGTGCTGACGATGACGCAGCACCAAGAGAGCAGCAGCACTGCCAGCTTCTAAGGGCGAACTCTGTCTGAATCTGTGACAGCAGTTCCTTCTCTACTCAACTTGCCCCGGAAATCTCCGAAGAGCAGCATGCCTAGCAGCAAGAAGAAGTAAGGGTGTGTTGATACTTGCTTTAGTTATCCTAGAATAGGGCTGCGATTAGGCCCAATGCAACTGTGGGTGTCTTTTTTCCAGAGCCATCAGCTTCTCTCGACCAAGTTTGGGACTTATCATAAGCAAAGAGCTACTGGATAGGTCTCACATGGTACAAAGCATGCATGCATAGCTACGGGAAAAGTCTGGCTAGCGGCTACCTTACGTGAGTAGCAGCCGAGTGGGCCTCAGTATCGCCTTTGCTTGGGCATCCTGCGGGGGATAGTTTACAATCACCCAAGAAGCAGCCCTAAGGTCTTTCATCAAATTAAATAGGGTCGGCAATGTGCGAGGAGCGATGGTCAGGGAGTCGCAGGTAGCTGCAGTACTGCCCCAGCTCCCGCCGCCCACAGAATGCTTGCATGCAGCGCCTTGGCAAAAAGTGCCTCTGCCTACACTAGCAGAGAACACACTAGCCGCTGTGTGCAGCAGTAGCTAGTGCAGATGACGAAGTAGACGTGCCGCTGTGGCTGCTGCTGTAGGTATCGGAAGGCATGCACTTTTGGCGGGTGCCGTTCCTCTGCGAGCCCCTTAGTGCTCCCTACGCTTGCTGGGCAGTACTACATGCCAGAGGGGACATGCACATCTGAAACTTTAGGGAATGCTTGCTGGAGGTTAAGTCACTTTTGCTGAGCGTGCTTGCTATAGTGACAAAGCCTCCGTCTGAGAAGGCTCAGTTTACCAGTAGCCATCAGGTTGGACTTAGCATAGCACAGGGGTAAGCCAGGCAGGTCGCTTCTGTGGCTAAAGCACCGCATTGACATGCTCGAAACGGAAGGAGGAAAGGCAATGTGAGCCGAGAGAAAGAGGCAGAGAATACGAGACATCTGAGATGTGCACAAGGCCAGGCGAAGAGGAGAGTGGCTACGTGCTGGCACCGGCACACTTGAAGAAAAGCGCCCGTATGTGTTTTGGGGGACTAAGCATTCAAACTATGTTGGAGCGTGCAGATTTCCCGGGAGCCAACGTACTATCTGTAGGGCTTCCAGAGGCTCAACTTGAAGTGCGGAATCAACGACAAATACCCCAGCGACTATGCTGTGGGTACGTACTGCAACGCCTCGTACCCATACTTGCTGATGAAGCTTACTGGCACGATAAATTAAAGTGTCTTGCTTTGCAATACGACAAAGGTGGGCAAGTGCCAGCGAGCGGTGAGCGTTTCAAGGGGCATTCTTCCCTTCGCGATAAAATGCTTCGCGAGCAGACGCCTTTTCTCGGAGCTAGCACAATCGCCGACGGCCAAACTCGCCAACGGTTGGTGATTCCTGCACTTGCTGGCGCCAAACAGTGCGCTATCTGTTACATTCCGTAGAAGGTCGCCGTAGGAGGCACTCAACTTCACACTTAATACAAGCTTAGTAGAAAGCTATTGAATCGGTTAAAAAAGCGAACCTCTCGTTCCGGTGTCCTCGTCCCTAAGACTTCCCACTTTAAGGGAAGAGGGGCAGCTAGAGTGCCCAGAGCCGCAACCGTTGAGCACTCAGGGCATTCACCGCTAGTTGCATGTAGCATTTAGCGCACATGCACACAACAGTGCTGCTTCTTATTTCGAGCTAGTGTACTCTGCGATAAATAATATATTAAAACAGGAAAAAAGCAGTCAATGCTTTACTAAGTTTTTATTAGGCGTAGTCAGTGTAGTGGAGGGTGTCTAACTTTAGTTAGGCGCGCTACATCTTCGCTTCATATCAACACGCACGCCCTCCTATTCCGTGCCGACAGAGCGAGATCATTTGTGAGCAGGACAATGGAAGCCTTCCCGCTCTATCACCACTCTACAGGCAGACAGCGGCACTAGTGCAAATGAGGACAACAAGTGCATGCATTAAACGCTTGAGATAAGCAGGCAGGAAGGAAGATACCTACACTAGCCAACAACAATTAGGGGACCAAACCAAAAACAATCGACTGCGGCGGCGCGAGGATGCTCTATATACGGAGCGTTCAAGTGTGCCCGCCTTCTATCAGGAGCAAGCACAAGACAAGTAAAATGTGCATAGGGAATCGAACCACACACACTATTTCAGCAGGGCGTCCGTGCTTCACAGAGCAGGGTATACATATAAATACAGCAGGTGCGTGCAGCATAGCCATTACAAAGCCCCCAAAGAGGCACAAGGGAAGTTATAGAGACAGCATATCTAAGGGTACCTGGATATATAAATGACTTTAGAAAACTCCCCATTAATTAAAGCCGGCAACTTACAAGCAGCACCCACAGCTGAACATAGCTATTTTCTGCAGAGTATGCACGGAGGACATCAATTACCAAGGAACGCGGAGGAATATGGTCTGTGCCGACTACCGTTGAAGCCGAAGGAAGCAACAAATTCTCCACTATGCAACTTCTCCGTCAACCCCTGAGGCTGGCTTTCCCCACCCCACCTCACTAGAACCTACAGTCGCAGCTTTCTTGATACTCACTAGTCCTGGAATCAGGCAATTTATGGCTCCCTGTGGATCCGCCGCTTACACTGGAGTTACTTGCCTACGCTGCGAAATCCACGACAACTTGGGGAGCTTCGACGCTTCTTTGGGGAGCCAATATTTATAGCTCTGTGGCACCTCCTATTAAGAAAATGGATAGACTATGAAAGACCATGGATTCATGTAAAAACTGCAGATGACCCTAGCCACCTATTTGCACAGGTCTCTGGCTGGTCACCTTATGTCGCACCTTGTTAAGCCTGCTGTTTCACCACGACAAAATCTTGAGGCTTGAATAACACAACCAACCTTCGCCTAGAATAATTACGTGCTTGTTTCTCTTCAGCTAAGCGCACACACTCGGCACCTGTTCTCTGATTCCCTTGGCTGCCAATGATGACTGCTGATCCCCCACCAGCTGATCCAGACTCGAATCGGTTAAGGGCTTATCAATGCAGACTCGGGATAGGGAACGTCGACAACTAAAAGAATATACTGCCTAGATGTGAACTGATTCAGCATGAAAAAGAAAATCAACCCAAGCAGTTGGATTTGTGTTGGCCTAAAGTTGCATATACGGCACAAAGAGTGTGGCTAAAGCCATTTGTCTGTCCTTGCGCCTCAGGTTGGTTTGCAGTGATCATACTGTCGTCAATGGTGAGCGAGTCATAGGGGCACGCCAAAACACACCGACGAACTTCGAAAAGGCATTCAAGGGATGCCTCTGAGGAGTTCATCAAGCTTCCACACATTATAATGTCTGAACGCCTGAACAACTTTGAAGCCGTGACAGAGCTGCATGACGAGATGAAATTGGCATTGCTGCTGAGTGTGCCGACAACTTCCGATATGTATTCCTGAACGTTGAAACTCGGAAGTCCATCAATGAAGTCCACCAATGAAGCCCACCTTCAAATCAGTCAAAATCATATCAGGGACTAGAAGGATTTGCAAAAGGCCACGTTCGGGAGACTTTCGCGGTCCTCCCTGCAGCATTATTTAGTCCAAGTGGCAAAGTAGTATAATTGAGTTTGCGAATGCGAGTGTAAAATGCCTTTTTGTGTCCGTTAATAGGATGAGTGAGGATTCACAAGACAGCGTCTTTTAAGTTAAATACGAAGCAGACTGTCAATCCCTGTAGTTTGTCAGATAGCTCACAATATAAGGCACTCAAAACTTCTGCTGTGCAATAACCTTGTGTAGGGGTATCCCACATGCGCCACCTGCCTTCCCTTTTGGCTTTGACATCATGATATGCCCCAAAGCGTAGTTAGATTCCTACAGTTTGACTTTTTATTGAAAAACTATCCTGCTTTGTATTTCCTCTTCATACTTTAGGGACTTCCTATAGCGCCAAACATAGCTGAGGGCTAACACGGGGATTAGTTCAGCACTGTGCGCTAGACAACCAACTGGAGAGCAGCTTGCTGGCAGGTCGTAATTCCTCGGCACATCTACACACTACCTTTGATGTTTGACCTTTCCTGCTATCTCTTGGCTAAAGCTTTGATAGGATTTCTAATCAAGAACGAGTTGGAGAGCGACTCAGACAGGATGTGTCCTTAGAACCCCACTTGCTCACTGCGCTGCCGAGCCGTTCTCATTATCAAAAAGACTCTGCCACCCTTTTAAAGTGCTGTTTCCTCCTCACTTACCATTCATGCAATGAACATTGTAAAGCAAGCAAAGGAACGCTTCTTCCTGACGCTCCCCAACACACTGACCTCCACATCGCGCAGCTATGGCCGCAAGCGCGCCTTCTCGTGTGTCACCCAGGG